AACTATTTAACTTGAGGTCTTTTATAGACATAAGTCTTCTAATATCTGAAGATTATCCTTCTGGAACTTTAACTTCACTTAGAAACTTACACATATCTTTTTCTCCTTTCTAGATAGAGTAAAAGTAGCAGGTGGTAGATATGTTCGGCTTCCTTTCTTCACGGGTCCTAGTTCAGTTCGTATTCCCGTCTTTAACATGTCCTCCCTTGCTTTAAGGTCATCCTTAGACTTTCCTTTAATATTGAGTAACATACCAATAACACTTTCAAATACATTTTTTTTCAATATGCATAACATCGAGAAAATGTCTCACATACAGAGACTTCCAATATGGCAATTAAAAAAAAATCGATATCTTCTTCCACCCACCTTTGACAACCGTATGCTCAAAAGGCTTGCCAAACTGAGTACACACATCTTTCACCTTTTCAAAAGTTTAGTCACCTGACAATGCAGGTGGAGCTTTACGTTGTTCGGTGTCTCCATTGAATGCTTTTCTCCATGCACGGTAGTGATGTTTAGAATGTAAGAATATACGATGACCGAGAAACACATTCTTCTGAAAAAGTTCCAAACGCGTTGTATCGGTTCTATCTTCACAAACAGAACACACACGTTGACCTTTAATGCTATACCCAGATATATTCCAGTATGCTGGAAAATCATTAATTGTGCCAAACAACATCGCCTTCAAATTGAAACTTTGTTTCCTATATCCATCATAAACCTCCACCCCATTCTTCCACAAAATCTTTAAATCTTTGATCAAAGGTGTCAAGTATACGTCTATGTCATTCCCTGGTTGTTTAGGCCCAGAAATTAACATAGATAACATCATGTACTTACGCTCCATACATAGCCATGGAGGTAGGTTATAAATCATAAGAATTAAAGGCCATGTGGTATGTGAGATACTTTGAAGACCATGCGGGTTCATTCCATCAGTAGATAAAGCCAAGCGAAGGTTTCTTGCTTCTTCTCCAAAATCATGACAATCATTATCAATTTTCGACCACTGTGGTGAATCTTCCGGGTGTCGATACTTTCCATCAATAATTCTTTCATCTGCATGCCAAGTCAGGTGTCTTGCATCGGTTTCACTATGAAACATGCGCCTAAATCTCAGAATTATAGGAAAATACCATAAGACTTTTGTTGGAGACAATTTTTTCTTATATCGAGACAAACCGCATTTAGGGCACTCATTTAACGATGCATATTCATTTTGAAACAAAACACAGTCATTTGGACAAGCATGTATCTTATTATAGCTTATGCCAATAGAGCACAACATTTTTTTGGCCTCATAGGTTCGATTAGGAAGAACATTATCCTCCGGAAGCATATCTCTCATAAGGGATAATAACTCTAAAACTTTTATCTGACCATCCATTGCCCGCCTTTAAGTTGTACAACTTTAATACAGCAGACAGTCTTGTGAATTTAATGCAACCTTTATACAAAGGTTTCTCTGCATCTCTTACCAATCTCTCAAACATTTTGGGACAATCCTGAAGATCTTCTTCAAGTGCATCTGCAATCTCTTCGACTCGATCAAAATTGTATGTATTTGTGTCCTTGTTGTCTGAAGCATAGGCCGTACTACTTTTCTCCCCCGGTTCAACATTGTCGTTATTTTTTTCACCGTGAAATATCCAACACGTATAACTTCTATCAATTCCACGCATTAGTAAATGCGATTTCAATCCATCTGCGTCAACCCGACCCACATAACAACAACCCAAGCAAAGACACTTCATTCAACTGGGGTCTTTGGCGTGTTCAACAACAAACTTAACGAATTCCAATACCCCATTCTCGTACTCTTATTACAATCGATCGGCAGACATCCATTTTTTATCCATTTTTTTCTACTAATTCAAGTAAACAAAAACACTATGAACGAATTATTCCCTTTTTATTTGAGTTAAACGAATTATTTCTAGAAATTTATTTCTAGAATTAATAACATGGACTAAAAATAAATATGTCTATAAAAATAATTGTGTTTTTTAATTGATCGATACAGATAGAATTTGAACTTGACTTACCAAAGAAAGAAAAGGGATTATTGGTGTCGACGGCGGATGATGTAGCTTTGATGTTCCTCGAATCGGTGATGGTCTTCGACTAACTACACCAATACAAAGGGATCATCAAAAACAAGTTATATATAGGGCTATAATAGCTTAAATCCATAAACCTTAAGAATTTGTTCTTAGAGAAGTTTTTTGTGAAAAATTGTATGAGAAACAAATCACTTATGAATCTTTTCTATCATATTATATTTCTTTCCAATAGAAACACAATATTTAGGAGTAATAATACTTAAACAATTCTGAAATTTATATCAGTAAAATAGTATTAAAAGTAAAGAAACCAAGCAACCAACAAGTAAAAAATACTAGTTCATGGAGAATATAAACATGATAAACAATTCAGAAACCAATTAAAATAACAAAAAAATCCATCATCTTTTTTATTCCAAAACAAAAAACCAAAAGAAAATGTAATAATGCTAAATGCTAAATGCTAAATGCTAAAAGTGTTGCTATTATATATCAAGCCCTACCAAAAACCGAAAAATCAAAATGCATACCTATAACTCAGTTATGCATATCTATAACTCAGTTTGGACATCAATAGGAGGATAATGTCTTAGATGTTAGTATAGTACATTATCAATAGGAGGATAACTCAGTTTGGACATCAATGGAGATAAAGACATTTTCAAGAAAGAACCTACCTTGAGAACCGGCCAGTGTGGGTGGAGGACAACCGAGAGAGACGGTGGAGGAGGGAGGGAAAGGGAGGTTCAACAGCGACGAAAAGGGTTTCTGTTCGTGAGAATGAGAGGGAAAGGATTTTTGTACGTGTCGTGAATCTGTGAAAGAGAAACAAACAGTACACTGATTCTATTTTTTAATTTTCATTTATATGGCTTTAGACATTGCTTTCTAGAAGCGCTGGCTAATATGGGCCTTTAGCAGCGCTTTTGAAAAGCGCTGGCTAATAGGGTCCTTTAGCAGCGCTTTTCAGATTTTTTTTTAAAATTGTATATGACTTTAGACAGCGCTTTTTAAAAGCGCTGTCTAAAGTGGTCCTTTATCAGCGCTTTTGATAAAGCGCTTTCTAAAGCAACACTTTTAGCAGCGCTTTTTAAAAGCGCTATCTTAGGTCACATTTTTAGTAGCGCTTTTATTTATTATTTTATACAGTTTTCGTGTTTTTTTTTAAATTCACTTATAGCAGCGTTTTTGTATAAAAGCGTTGTCTAATATGCGCGGTTAAAAGCCATTTTTAATGCAGTGTTTTTTTATGATATTTAGTTAAGTGTTTTCAATGAGGTTTGCATTGAGAGATGAATCAAAGTAGCAAGCTAAAGCAATAATACTCATACCTTTGGTTATAAAAAGTCCTTGAAAATAACTCAAAGTTTTGCAAGGAGGATATTTAAAGACTTGGGTATGCATCCCAAGAAACCACATTGTCATGTCCTACAAGAGGTCTGAAAGGTACCTTCAAATCCAATAAGAGATAGAGTATTATTACAATTTCTATCTATTATTATTATATTATTATTATTATAATAATAATAATAATAATAATAATAATAATAATAATAATAATAATAATAATAATAATAATAATAATAATAATAATAATAATAATAATAATAATAATAATAATAATAATAATAATAATAATAATAATAATAATAATACAAGATTAATTTGGGAGTTCCACTTGATGAAATAGTTATTTCTGTGCCCTATTTAAGAATTACTGAAATAGATAAGAAAGGAGTTTATCATGGAGAGAGCAGCCAAAAAAAGTCTATACATGTAAATAATTTCACATGAGATATGTATGGAGTTACAATTTCTCTAAGCCCGCGGCAAAGAGGTTATGATGAACACCACAAGTTCTGTTTTTTATCCAAACATTTACATCCTAAATTAAGAAGAAGTTTTGATTATGAAACCCAAGGTACAACCAAAGTTTTTAGAATTCATACTACAATGACACAATGAAGGGAAATACTTGTCTTCTAAGTCCCATCTAGAGCAAATAGTTGAAGGGGTCAAGTTGTGATGATGAAGTCAATAAAGTAGGAAAATAGTTGTGACAAGCAGGCCAAAAGAGAAATTTTATCTTTTTTGCCAAGCATAATTTTCATATTCAATTCCAGGGTTGAGGTTCCATGTTGAAATCATGTGAATCTTTTTGTTGCAGAGGATCCAAAAATAACTTCTCTTTGCAATGTAAGAATACCATTTATTTGATAAGTCCAAATAAATCTATTCAAACTTGAAGTTGGAATCAATAATTCATCTTCATGTGCTCTTTATTATAAAGAGCACTACTAATTTAGTAAACTTGTGAAAGACTAATCAGTTTACTTTGAATTTTATTATGATTTTCGTTTGTGATTTTAGAGCTATGTAAGCTTTAGTACACGTCGATCCAATGAAAATAGCTCATGATTTTAAGTGTTTAATTAAGAGGAAAATTTTGTTTAAATGGTAGATCAAAGCATACATAAGTAGCTGCATTTATCCAATCATTTATATTACTACTTCTCTTTTCCAAATCAATAGTAGTTCAAATGATTTATTATTACTACTTCCTTGTCTACTTGCATTTATATTATTAATCATTTATATTGCTACTTGTATAAATCACATGTTTAAATAAAAGTCTTTTAATGCAATTTAAACCGCGACAAAACCATATTGACAAATATTAATAGGATAGACATCATTTTTCGATTACAATGCAATGAAAATAATTCATTTTAAAATATTGTTGCGATCACGACGAAACAGTGAGTTTCTGCAAATACCAATCTTAAATGAGAATTATGACTATAAAGCAACAAAATATTACAAACAACATTTCATCAATCACCTAACTAATAAGATTTGTACATAGGAATCACCTAATTAATATTTATGCTAAAACAATACTAGTACATATCTCATTAAAAATCACAAACATCAATAATTTGATCCAGGAGAATCCCATGTATCAGGTATGATTTGATGAAGTGAACAACATTCTTGATTAGATCCACTTGAACAACATTTTGAAGCAGAAACTTCCAACTCTTGCTTTTCATGTGCATTCATAACCCCCTCTATTATCTCCAAAACCTCTTCAATATTTGGCCTATTTTCTTGTAAACCAGACACACACTTAAGAGCAATATTCAACAATGAAAATGCACCTTGTTGATCATTCTCTCTAACCTCTTTATCAAAAACCTCTCCTGTCCATTCCTCTCTCACCATTGATCTCACCCATCTAACGAGATCGATTCTACTAGCTTCTGTGCTTTGTCCAGTTAGTAGTTCTAGTAGAATCACTCCGAAGCTATAGACGTCGCCTTTTTCAGTTAAACTTCTTTCGGGGGCCATGTGTCCATGAGAGGAAAAGAGAGTAGTTCCTCGGTTTGGTTCGAAGAATTTTGATAAACCGTGTTCGCTTATTACTGCTTCGTTTTTTTCATTAAGAAGAATATTCGATAGCTTGATGTTTCCATGAGGGATATTGATCTCTCCTTCTTCCGATTTCTTGTATATGAAGGCCAAACCCCTCGCAATTCCACGTGCTATTTCGAGACGAAGTTTCCATGGAAAAACTTTTCTCTTTGCTATATAATCTACATAAATACAATATCTTTTTGTTAACACTATACATCGTTAATTGTTAATTAGATCGATTGAGACGAAGGTTGAAACTAAGTTTTAACTAATATTGTACAAATGATCACGAATCAAAATGAATTTGAATTTTATGTAATCAGTGATTCACGCATTTACAATTGTTAGTAATCTAGACCTATCAGATGAACGACTCACATTTCAAATTTGATTTTTTAATCTAGACCTATATATATGATAATATTTTTAGAATATTAATCTAATTTTTTTATTATGTGTTATACTGATGGCATATAGATGTTAGATATTGACGAGTATCATACACTGCGACATGTCTATTTTTAGTCGTGTTAATGCATATGTTTCTTTGTATGTGGAGTATATTGCAATTAAAGAAAACTTACAATCTTAACTTACCATTCAAAAGATTGAGCAAGCTTCCATTGCTTTGATATTTGTAAATGATAAGTTTTTCTTCACTTGTACAACGATAACCAACAAGAGGGAGAATATTTTGATGTTTCACTTCACTTATCTTCTTCAAGATTTCACAAAACTCATCACAAGAAACCTGCAAATTCTTCATTCTCTTCACTCCATATTCAACATTATTCTCAAGTTTCACCTTAAAAAGACTACTCCAAAAGTTCTCACTTCTCAAATCAGCTTTAGCTCTTAATAAATCCTCCAAACTAAACCTTTCATGATCTTCAACAAAGAACACAAGCTCTGAATTACTATTAGCACCCCCTTTTAATCTCACTTCACTTGTCACCTTTTTCATAGGAGAAACTATACGCTTCTTCTTCACCTCTCTCTCTCCCATTAATTTAGATGATTTCTTCACCATAAAGTATAGTGATGATAAAAGCAACCCAATTCCCAAAACTAAACCAACCAAAATCTCAATATGGGAATACCATGATTTCTTTCCATGTTCAGATTTATCATTAGAATTTAAAGAACTTGGTGTTGGTTCTATTCTATCTACAACAATTTCACTCTCTAGCTTACTAATTTGAACCATATAATTACTAGAAAAATTATTGTTAGATAAATCTAAATTCTTAAGACATTTCAATCTTTTCAAACCCTTTGGTAACCTACCACTTAATTTATTATTGGTTACATTTAAAGAAACCAAACTTGTACAGTGCAAAATAGAGCTTGAAATATTCCCTTTGAGATTATTATTAGCTAAACTAACAACTCTAAGGTTTTGGAGTTTGCATAATGAGTCTACATCAAATATGCCACTGAGGCTCATGTTATCAAGTTTTATCTCTATAATATTTGTAGCATTTGAGTTGCATGTTACACCATTGAACTTGTTGTTAAAACATGGATTTGATGTGTTGGTGATGTCGAGAACATTGTTTGAATCAAGAGCTTTAAGGAAAGTGAAAAAAGAATGAGACTCTGATGATGGTGATGATGATAATAATTCACCTCTTGAATAGAACATTATCATGAAGAAAGATATTAAGAACATTGTGAAGTCTCTTGTGTTCTTCATTTTTGTGTGGATGTATTGAATGAATCATGGGTCTATATTGTTGACACTATGGATAAGGACATGTGTAGTCATTATAGGATTCTACGTTCGATGTTTTTGTCATTATCTTGTACACCTTGTTAATATCGTTGCTTTTCCATGTCTTTAGATAAAATAAGACATTTCGTGTGTGAAACATAAGAAAGGATCATCGTCATCCTTTTGCTGCCAAAATAAATATTCCTCGTATTATTATATGATTTACAACCAATTACCTTATCTAATGTGATTTTTGCCTTGAAAATCGCAGATACCGCTAAACGCACTCTGATGTCATGAGAAAAAAATCAGTTTTATTTTTGCCATAATTTGAGAACCGTAATTCCGATTTGCACACTGTCGAGAGTGTTGAAAAGATTATTCAATAGTTTATCTAACAATGACTATATATATATATATATATATATATATATATATATATATATATATATATATATATATATATATATATATATATATATATATATATATATATATATATATATATATATATATATATATATATATATATATATATATATATATATATATATATATATATGTTTGAATACTTACAAAAATGAGATAAAAACAATTAAACTCAATGATATTTACACGATAATGTAATATATACACTATAACATAACTTATATCGAATATACACTAAAGTTAAAGTTTATTGACTGAAAGCAAACAAATTAAGCTTATGAGTGATAATTATTCACACTTAAATTCACAACAACTTAGCACTAAACAAACTCTTTCCAAATTAAAACACTGTTCTCAAACAAAATCAAACAACTTAAAGAAACAAAAGACGATAATCCAAAAATCACGAATTAACATGTTTTGAAAACGGTAAACAAATGTATGGTTCAAATTAAAAACGTACAATCAAAGTAAATAATTATCACTAAACTACAAAGATAACATGAAAACGAAATAACTCATAAATACAAAACACATGTCAAATATTCTAAAACAATACAAAGTTCAAAAGTGAATCACACCTAACATACGATTCATCGGTAGATGAATAACAAAAACATTGGATGTTTTTACTCTCATCCAACAATCAAGTTATCAACAAGTTAAATTATGCATTCATCTAGAAAAAAATTCATATTGAACAATATAAAAGCAAGAATCAAGATGACTTTCAAGGGTTTTAGTTGGGCTTGGTTAACAAAGAAGGTTCAATCATAAGACTGACTAAACGAAATTGCCTAAATCTATGGGAACATATAATCACACACATTTAAGCAATCAAAAACGATTTTATTCACCCTTCATTTGTCTCATTTGTACAACCTTTATTTTATTCAAACACACACATTACTTTTTCCTTTTCTTTTTCTTACTCTTCTCTTTTTCTTTTCTTTTCCTTTTTTCACATTTTTTTCTTTTATTTTCTTTTTTCAACCACTTATTTCTTTTCAACCACAATATAAATAACACATGAGCAACCAAACAAGTGCTCTCCCCAACTTGAATACAACCTAACAAGTGATGTGAATGCTTCCTAACATTCTAAGGCAAGGAAAACAAAACAAATCAAAAATTAAAGTTGAAGGGTCAAGTGTTTCAAGAAACAAATTCAAGATCATACAAAAACCAATAAACTAGTTAGTTATTTATAAGCTCGACATTTTTTATACAAGTATAAATCATGACATTAAGGATCAAAGGAGTAACAAATGCACGCACACTCATGTGGTAAAATACTTTTGGAAGGTGGTTATGCTCAAATTCAAAAAATGCATTGTTCCTTTTCATGCTTTCATACATATTCAATACAAATAAACGATTAAACATATAAATGAAGTTACTAAGAATGTTGGTCTCCTGCATGTAGTAAACAATGGAAGCAACCTCAAAAAAATGGTTTTGTCCTAAAGTGATTCAAGAATGAACAAGTATGACAAAAGAATAAATAAAATGAAATTTTGTACAAAAGAAAAGTCTCATAATCATGCTATGTTCTAGAAAGAGATAAACGACTACCTTGCGTGTACCAACTTTAAAACATACCATTACCAAACATCCGCAAGTTGAAACACTCAAAATAAAATAAAAAATCACCAATTGCAACTTCAAGCTATTGAACCAAAATTTGAGTCCAAACAACAACAAATGAATTAGTTATATTATTGTTATGTACTATCTAAAGCCTAGGAGAAAGTGGAAAAAAGGAAGGCAGGTGAAACAAGAAGAATTCACTTGTGCAACACAGTTAAGCACGCTAAGCGGGCTAGACCGCGCTTAGCGGTAGCAGAAAAATGCAGAAAAACAGGACAGTAACTGCATTTTCATGCCACCTCCATTATCGCCTACACATCTCAATTACAAAACATACAATATTTTCAACATACAAACTTCCACAAGATAAACACGACAAACTTATGGAAAACAAAACTTAACACATTAAACAAACTACTATAGACATACTAAACGACTGGATGAAAGTGAATAAACAAGTTAAAAAGTGAAGATTTGAGTTTTAAAACAAGTCAAATTTCAACTTGTTTAAACAACAATCAACACACTACCTAAACTAACATAATGAAAAAAATAAAACAACTATTTACAACAAAAAAAACATGTTTGTTTTACATCGTAAGCTCGATGACTGTTATTCATACACATTTATCCAAGTTGTCTCTTTACACAGTTAGTGCTCATCGACGGTGAAACCTAACCAAACACTTAGCAAAAGTAAAGAGAAACAACATATACACTAAATTTATAAGTATCGAAAACATGTAACATTCACAATTATGGTAAACATATACAAGTATCAATATAAACAAGTGAAAATAGACAATATATAATATCTATAAAACTCAAAAACAAAGAAACTATCGTGATATGATCCAATAAAAATACCAATCCCCGCTATCAACGTCATTTTGCTGAAGCGATAAAGCGGAAAACAAAAGTAAATATTTTTATAGGTTATATCATATCGTCTCCACAGGGATTAGTGCTATTGAATTGTCGTTCGATGATTTCTCGCATTTATGAGTTTGTGATTGAATTGGGTTGGTTAATGTAAAAGGTAAATGCAGGAATTAAAGTTATTAACAAAAAAAAATTCATAGAAATCTCATATTTTTATTTCATTTACCTTACCAAATACTTAAACTCACTACTCAGTTATACTCAACTTAAGTCACTCGTCAACATTATCACGTATCTCTCACACAGAGGTTATCTCTTACACAATGAGACAACAATCGTGTTACTCGCATGGGTGATCTCAGTGCAATACAAACAACACAGAAACATTAAGCTCCAATACATAAGTGAATACTAAGCCTTAATTTATCTCTAGATTTAAAACCCAATAGATGTTCATCCTAAATCAAGATTCGAACCGTCCATTTCTACAACAACCAAAACCCAAATAAAGAAAACAATAATCAATATCGATTTGTAAAATGTGTTTCATACAATACTATGAGCAATAAATATACATATAATCAAGGTAAAGTTACATAAAAACTCAAACAAATGGAGATTATAAAGATAAGAGAAGAAGAGAAACCAAACATTTCTTGGTTTTTCAACACCAATCGATGAGAAATTCGACTCTGGATCATCCGACTGCAATCTCCAAATGTTGTTTCTAAGCCTCTCTCTACCAAAAAAATGAAGTTGATGGTGATGGGACCCAAAAATATCCAACTCATAACCTAAAAAGTGATTTTTGCCCTGAAAATCACAGATACCGCTAAGCGCACTCTACTGTCATGAGAAATAAATTACATTTTGTTCCCGTCATAACTTGAGAACCGTAACTCTGATTTATGCACGATCAGAAGCGTTGGAAAGCTTATTCAATGATATTTCTAAAAATGACTAAATATATATATATACTTGAGTACCTACAAAAACGAGCTAAAAACAATTAAACTCAATGATATTTACACGATAACATAATATATACACTATAACGTAACATATATCGAATGTACACTAAAGTTGAGGTTTATTGACGAAAATAAAATGAATTAAGCCAATGAGTGATAATTATTTACACTTAAATTTATAACAATTTAGCACTCAACAAACTCTCCCCAACTTAAAACATTGTTTGTCCTCAAACAAAGTCAAAAAACTTAAAGAAACAAAAGACGATAATCCAAGAATCACGAATCAACAGGTTTTGAAAACGGAAAAAAAAATTTATAGTTCAAATAAAAAATGTAAATCAAAGTAAACACTTATCACTAAACTACAACGATAGCATGAAAACAAAACAACTCGTAAATATAAAACACATCTCAAAGATTCTAAAACAATACAGAGTTCAAAAATGAATCACACCTAACACACAATGCATCGGTAGTTGAATAACAAAAACAATAGGTGCTTTTACTCTCACCCAACAATCAAGTTAACAAAAAGTTAAATTATGCATTCATCGAGAAAAAACTCAGATTGGACAATATAAAAGCAATAACCAAGAGGACTTTCAAGGGTTGTAGTTGGGTTTGGTTAACAAAGAAACGTCAATGCCAAGGCTAACTAAATGAAATTGCCTAAATCTATGGGAGCATTTAATCATACATATTTAAGCAATAAAAAATGATTTTTATTCACCCTCATCTTTGCTCATTTGTACAACGTTTATTTTATTCAAAAACACACATTACTTTTTCCTTTTGTTTTTCTTTCTCTTCTCTTTTTCTTTTGTTTTCTTTTTTCACATTTTTTTCTTTTCTTTTCTTTTTACAACCACTTATTTCTTATCAACCACAAAGTAAATAACACATGAGAAATCAAACAAGTGTTCTCCCTAACTTGAATATAATGTAACAAGTGATGTGAAGGCTCCCTAACTTTCTAAGGAAAGGAAAACAAAACAAACCACAAATTAAAGATCATACAAAAATCAATTAAGAACTAGTTAGTTATTTACGAGTTCACATTTTCTATACAAGTATGAATCATGACATTAAGGCTCAAAGGGCTAACAA